AAGTTCGGTAGTAACGATTTTCGGTAGGCAGCGGCTTGGCTCTGCCCCTGGCATTGCTGAAGTCCATGGGTGACGGTAACCACTCACCATCACGTGGGCCGTATGCTCGTCTGTCTACAATGACAATAAAAAAAAAAAAATCGACTATGATTAATTGAAATTATAAGTTTGTACACTATTATGACTCTATTGTCAAAGACTATTTTATACTTCCTCTAATCACAGATTTCGCCAAGATTACACTTTAGACAAATATTAATAAAGACAAACAATATTTAATCTATTCTCAATTTGACCACAGACTATAAGCAATAAGAAAAGTTTGACAATAAACAAATAGTACGCATGCGCGTGTATGATACTGTGTGTAATGTTTTTATTTATTGATTTAATGTATTTATTATACATATTTTACAAAAATATTAGCATTCTGCACTTTTTCTCTATAATCTCTAAAAGTGTGGGAAATTTCATACTCCTCCGTCCGCGCAATTTTCGTAAAAAGGGGCTACAAAGTTTTTGCTCCACTCATTAATATATAGATAACTGGGAACAAATCACGTACGGCCATCTGGTCCTAAATTAAGATTCCCTGTTTCATGGGCACCAGAGATGGACTTACATACTTATATATATTTAAATATATAGGTAATTCATATATAATACACACCCAGACGAAGAGCAAACAAACCTGTTTAACACAAGAATGTTGCCCGATGTTATGTAACGATGTAAGCGATGTAATCGAACCCACGACCCTCAGCGCAACATTCAGAGGCGCTAATTACTGCGCCATCGAGTCAGTCGACGACTGAACATACCGACAAATTCAGCTACAACATATTTTTATTGCATACATTCGCTCATCGTGGTCCGCGTGATGTTAATTGGTTACCAAAGTTCAAACGAAACACTATCAACCATAGTAAGGAATGACGTCATAGTCGCAGTTATCTATGATTCTCGTATCCATCAAACCGGAACTTATGACTGCTTTGTGCTAGAAATAGGCAGTATTGTGGCTCAAGCCAGTGATGTTTGACAAGACGCCTTCTCACCAATTTGAAATTTCATGGCATCTCAATTTTTATTCGACGACTATCCTTCCCTTTATCGATGAAGTCGTGCTCAATTCGCGCGTTGTATACCTATTTATCTATCCATCTATTATATTAAATTTCGTGATTCAACCACGGCATAGTCTTACCATGTTTGGCGGTAGGACCTCTTGTGAGTCCGCGCGGGTAGGTACCACAACCCTACCTATTTCTGCCGTGAAGCTTTTTTTTTATTGCCCTTGTAGGCAGACGAGCATACGGCCCACCTGATGGTGAGTGGTTACCGTCGCCCATGGACTTCAGCAATGCCAGGGGCAGAGCCAAACCGCTGCCTAAGCCAAGCCGCTGCCTAAAGCCAAGCCGCTGCCTAAGCCAAGCCACTGCCTAAGGCCAAGCCGCTGCCTAAGCAGTAATGCGTTTCGGTTTGAAGGGTGGGGCAGCCGTTGTAGCCTTAGAACTTATATATCAAGGTGGGTGGCGCATTTACGTTGTAGATGCCTATGGGCTTCAGTAACCACTTAACACCAGGTGGGCTGTGAGCTCGTCCACCCCTCTAAGCAATAAAAAAAAGTATTCTATAGGCCTATAGTTTTACCTACATACTTTTTATTAGTATGATTTATTTTACTTAAAAGAGACATCCCTAATTTCATGCATGCCATGCCTAAGCATTGGCACAGTGTGAGAGAGAATGTGTCAGTTCATTGATTAGTTTCTTATACGTAACAATATTGTTTAATAAAAACTTATGTGAACTGTCTCTATAGTATTTGAAGTTTGCAATACTGCATTGTAAAATTATTATATACTTGCTTTATTAGAACATATACTATGCAAGCTGTTTATTATTTAACATTATATATGAATTTTGTTAAGAATATCGCACCTATTGTAGGATTTTAAATTACGTTTTATTTCTATTTTAGAATCTAGGTTAACCGTATTGATTATTTAAAGTGAATCTACTTCCGGAGAAATTGTATAAATTAGGTCAGAAATAGCTTTTATTACATGATGTGTTATTTCTTCATCGCGTCATTTGTGAATACGTGTTTGTTTAAAAAAATTGGTACTCACCTGCCTAATTTGAATACTGATATATTCGCTTCGCTTGGTATGATTACGAAGTTTTTTTCGTTAAGCCACCTTTTTATTTTTATTTTATTTTTATTGCATAGATAGGTGGACGAGCTCACAAACCAACTGGTGTTAAGTGGTTACTGGAGCCCATAGACATCTACAACGTAAATGCCGCCACCCACCTTGAGATATGAGTTCTAAGGTCTCAGTATAGTTATAATAGTTATAGTTACACATGTAGTGGTACCTACCCGTGCGGACTCACAAGAGGTCCTACCACCAGATTTATCTGACAGATACGACGTATGGCATGTACCCAATTGGTGTCTTGCTGACATTCAGAGGCTTTTTTTTTTCTTATTTAAGTTTTTTCTGAAAACCTCTGCATTATTTAATATAAAACATAACATTTTAATTTCATATTTGAATCACGGGTTAAGGCATTTCTGCGTAGTTAAGTAAAAATGGTTCTAGTGACGACACAATGTATATGAGACGACTACCAATAAAATCTGAAATTTTTCTTTTAAAAAAGTCTAAAAGCTGTAGCATCGTAATGCAATTTCCTAGCACCGTCTCCATATTAATCCAATAAAACCTGCATCGAGAATGTCGCATTCAGTTATTCCTACTTTTTTTTTATAATATCAGCGACAGACGAGAACTAAAACAGATTGTAATTCATGACTGTCCAATAACTATATTTTTTTGTTGATTCATCGTAATCAAGAATTAGGAGAAACTATGTGTTTGTGTTCTTAACTTTGTTCTTTTGCTGAGAAATGGTTTAGTTCTGACACGATTTTCTTAGAATATATTATTTGGGTTGGTAATAAGCATATGAATATTGCCGAACAATCTCACGCTGCGTCACAGCTAAGCCTACTTTTTTTTAAATTTTACTCTGATATTTATGATTTACCATCTTTGTACATATATTTCTTCTATGCGTGTGTTTGTCACTGAATTCCTCCTAAGCGGCTGGACCGATTTTAATGAAATTTTCTATGTACCTTCAGGTGGAATCAAGAATGGTTTAGATTTACAATTCAGCCCGACAGATAGCGCTGCAGTCGATATCTAGGCTATTTATCTTTCCTAGAAATAATTTATATGGCAGAACAACGTTTGCCGGACCAGTCAGTATAACTATATAGTCTTCCCTAATTTCGTTGAATAAACAAATAAATCTAGGTTTTGGTCAGAGCGTATTCAAATCAGAAAACTCCTAGACACTCAACAAAATTGAATTGCAGGGTTATTGGGTTCGCAATAAAACAAAACGTTCGTATGTGCTCACTGAGATTCAGTGTAATCTCGATACAATATATTCTATGTAGCTTTGTTGCGGCAAGATAATAAAACCTTGATTGACTAAGATTTTTGTTTACCTTTGCAATACCGCAAGGGCTTTGATTTTCAAATGCGTTTCTTTGTGTAGTGATTTTCTTCGTGAATATAAAAAACACATTGAAGAAATTTAATGTAAATGTGATGTTTAAAAAGTATACGCAAATTGTTTTCTTCTTACTGGTGGTAGGAAATCTTGTGAGTTCGCACGGGTTACCTACCCGTCACACTGCCTATTTTTGCCGTGAAGCAGTAATGCGTTTCAGTTTAAAGGGTGGGGCAACCATCGTGACTATACTGAGACTTTAGAATCTATTCTAAGGTCTCAGTCTAATACTGTCAGGTCAATCAGTAAGGTCATACTGACTTCTAAGGTCTCAGTATTAGAATAGAATACTCTAGTATTAGAATAGAATAGAATAAAGAAATCTTTAGCCGCGAACATAGAAGTTGGGTCGCATTTTTTTAATCCGCGGAAACTGAAAACGCGAATGAAGGAAACGCGAATAAGGAGATTTGACTGTATGTATAAAATTAACGACAGTTACAAAAGAGCGTAACCGGCTTAGCATAGTTCGCGATACACGTGTATTTACTTTAGTGATAAGGTCACATTTTTAATTTTTTCATTTTAATTTGCAAACTACCAGACCGCTGACTTCGCATACAAAAAGTGATCTTATTTTATATGGGCCGACAGAATTCCTGTCACAATGTCTTGTTACACCGATACTAAGCTTTAGACTTTAAAATTTACTAGGCAAGGTACAGTTTTGTTTAACATAATAGCTTAGAATTATTCAGTAGTTGTGTTACCGTACACTAAAACGGCTGAATCTATTTAATGATATTTTGACTGAATTTCAGTGAGTGACAGAATTGTTTGGGTTTCCAATTTTATGCTATATAAATGACGCGGTGATTTGATTCAACACATTTTGAAATTTCAGGGCAGATCAACATCTGCCGGGCCCTTTGTTCATTATAATTATGTTTGCAAATAACTTGATTGCACTATAATACTGGACTGGGTGTTAGGAGATCGCTTCCGAAAACGAAGACAGACGATAGTACTAATGACACCTTTGATGAAGGGACGAAAAAAAAAACGATCCTGATTTAAAAATATATATTTTTTAAACGGTTTAGTAGCATTATTTACGCTCCATCATGCTAGTACAGCTAAATGAAACGATAGCTTCATAAAAAATACATTACTTTACATTATTTATTAATACTATCTTCTGTCTTCGTTTTCGGAAGCGGTCTCCTAACACCCAGTATATTTATTACGTGACTTAATCCAAATACTTTCAAACATGGTTTCTAAGATTAAAAATCTATAATTGAGGTTTGATTATCTAACAGAGCAAAATTTTGAAATAGCTACCAATATAAGTTGAGCCCCCATTTGTAGCCTTGAAATCGCGGGAACATAATATTGTTAAATGATGTCATTGAAAATGTATTGAAAACTTATAAGTTTTTATTTGTGTTTATTGCCATTTCCAGTGTCCCTCGTCTCCTGTGTGTCAGCTCAGAATGGTAGAGGATTGCAGCAGCATGAGAATAACCGGCATGGGTGGGACATCCGCATCGCTGTACCGGGTAGTCCTGGCGAGGACTACCCGACCCTCAGCAACATACCCAGGACCCCATTTTCGTGTGCTGGACGAGAACCAGGTTATTACGCGATATCTGTTTCTTGTAGCTCTAATAGATCAATACACGTAACATACCCGGAATTCTTTTTTTTTATTTATTGCTTAAATGTGTGGACGAGCTCTCAGCCCACCTGGTGTTAAGTGGTTACTGAAGCCCATGACATCTATAACGTAAATACCGCCACCCTCCTTGATATATGAGCTCTAAGGTCTCGTTACAACGGCTACTCTACCCTCTACCCTTGAAACCAAACCACATTTACTGCTTCACGACAGAAATAGGCAGGGTGGTGATACCTACCCGTGCGGACTCATAAGAGGTCCTACCACCAATAATTACGCAAATTATAATTTTGCGGGTTTGATTTTTATTACACGATGTTATTCCTTCACCGTTACACGATATCTGTTTCTTGTAGCTCTAATAGGAGATAAACACATTGTAGCCGAAAGTAGTGTAGCTAAATACTAAAGATCAATACTTAAAATAATTTGGTTGGTAATAGCACAATTGGGTATAGAAATAATATGTGAGCCGGTTTTCCTGTATTTTTTTGTTTTGATTTTTCAGGATACTACGCAGATTTTGAAACAAACTGTCAGGTATTCAGAGTCTGCACCGTCGGTTCCACATATGGCTTCCAGTCTTTTCTCTGTCCGAATGGAACTTTATTCAACCAAGCTGTCTTCGTTTGTGACTGGTGGATGAATGTCAATTGCAGAGAATCTGAAAAGCTACTAAACTCGAAGAACGAACAGTTTCAGAATCTTCGACTAGGGCCCGAACTCATGAAGGACATCAAGAAAATGCTCACATATCCAATGCGCAATCCCTACAATAAAGCCTCAATGAGAAGTAACCTTGTGGTAATGCAGGATTACAAAGCTCCTGCAGGCCAGTTGTTCCCGAATGAAGCGTTATTAGCCGGTCCTGAACGTCTGCCCAGTAACGTCTATGTACCCAAACAAAATCTTATTCAAAATACTTATTCGAACAACGAAAACTTTTACTCCAAATCCACGTCACAGCCCAACTATCCAAGTCAGTATACGACAGTTCGTCCAAGCACAAGAGAGGCAGAAATATTTCAGAGGCAGAGGCAAACTACACCACGTTACAGTAATAAACTTCGAGAGGAACCAAACTTGCGGTTTGGCAACACAATATCAAACAGTCATGCTGGCCAATTCAATCAATTAAAAACAAAATCGAATGATGCTACAAACACACGTCCGCAAAGACCTACTAAAGATATTCAGAAAAACTCACAATACTTTACAAAGCAAACAACAACACTGTCTCCAAATATTCAAAATACTTCACGAAGACAACGTGGCAGACAGCGTTCTTTAAACACTGACAATAAAAAATCTACAAATTTGAGTGAAAAGTTGACCGATAATGACAGTGTCACAAACCAAAAATACACCTCAAATCAACAAGAAACGCAAAAAATATCAAATCAAAAAGCAAATATTCAGTTCAATAACGGAATATCTGACGACATACAAAATGAAGTAAAACAAAACATTGTAAGTACCCTCGACACAGCAGCTTCAACAGTCGTCACAAAGACTGTACCTTTTCGTAAAACAATTGAACAAACAAAACCAGGTAAAGCTAAATCTAGAATTGTAATCAAAACGTGGCTTGTAAAGCCTACAAAATTTGCAAAACTTATAGCCAGTCCAACTCCATATACATATAATAAACCTACTCAATCGATCAATGATAATCTTCTTGATAATTCAACACCGTACGAATATGAACATTCTACAAAAGAACCTTTGACTGAAAGTACTATTTCAGAACCAGAACCTACGCCGTATTTTTACAGAATACCAACTGCAACCACCGAACGTCCTACTACAACAAATTCGATAGAACTAAAGGATGCGCTGACTTCCAATCCGAACCCTTATTCAACAATAGCAGAACCTTTAGATCTAGGCCCTACAATCGTATTACCAACAGCATCTTCTGTAATATATTTAGCTCCAACAACATTTAAACCAGCAGCCCGCTTTTATTTACCACCATCAAACCCCATTCCTTCTAGGCAATATTTATCGCCCATAATCCAACCACCTATGTATAATTCGAATGCGCAATTGAGATATAGCCCATCAACAACCATATCAACTTTAGAGGTTCTTAACAAGCCTGCTAGTGTACCTTCGTTCTTCACAGCCACACCACCTAGACCTCCCACTACAAGTTTACCTCATAATTTAACTTTTAATGACATTTTAACAAAACAAAAGTTAGACACAACAGTAAATGATATAGTTAAAGATACAAACAATATTTTAAAGACAGCATCTCCACCACAATTTAGTCAATACCGTCAAGTGTTTAAGTCTTTTGAAGGTCCAAAAGACAATTTTATGCCCACAGAATCAGTAACTGATAGTGGAGAAAGCTTGACTTCGCAATTACCAACAGTCGATACAAAAAGCTCTAACATAGTAACACTTCCGTCTAATAAACTAGAACCTCCTCTTGTAACTAACAATGTTTTGAATAAAAACAGTACTCAAGATTTACCATACTTTCAAGAATCTTTATTGCCTCCAGCTAACACCATAGAACGAACAGTAACAATTAGAATAACCCTACCTGAAAAGGTGGCATCATATTTGTTCAAAAATAGTAATAAAACAGATTTTGATAAATTAGAAATCTTGAATACTGGTAATAGTGACTATTTAGTTCTAAGCAATGATTTTAGGACAAACCCCAACTTTGTAACAACAGGTAAACTTAATGCTCACCAAAATAGAAACATTTCTAATTCACAGGCGTTGGTGTTCTCACTACTTGCTGATTCAATTAATGCTGCAAAAGAATACACAAATATAGCTCAACAAGAAGTTATTCCTGCTACGCCTGGTATTACAAAATTTCAGAATGTAAACGAAGCCGAACTTTCACAAATCACGAACATGATCTCAAAGTTAACTTCGACACAATATGCTGACATTTACAATCGAAATGAAAACATCATCACGACACCACAAAATATACCTACGAACATTCAATCTAATCAGCTAATAACAGGTAATGTACAAAATAACAATCCATCCATATCACCTAGAATACCTCAAAGAATACTTAATTTACCATCACAGCAGCGAGTACAATATTTATCATCCCAATTTCAAAGTGGAGCTCCTAATACCAATTTTTTGGCAAATAACGGTAATCAGGTATACAGTGGACAATTGTATCAATTTTCAGTTCCCGAAGTCACAAACCAAATATACAACAGGCCATTTACGAGTTATATCGGACAGCCAGCAAACAATCCAGGCCAAGGCAATACAGCAAACTTTATTCACTCAAACATTCCCCAGAACGCTCCTTCTAATTTCATTCCCACTGCGAATACCCAACCACAATATTCACAAGACACAAATTTGTTCCCGTCCGGAGATCGGAACCATGACGTCACAAACTTATTGAATCAATCACCGACAGCAGTCGAAATAGTCCAATCGCAAACTTTACCATACAGTTCGGCTAAACTACAAATAGGTTCCTCGGATCAGTCAACACAGACGTTTAATCAAGAAACCCTCGCCAATCTATTAAGCGGCGACAATGGAATATCGGCACACCTTCAAGACAAAATTATAGGGACCATAAAACATCCCTTAGAGAGCGATAAACTAGTGACGTACGAAAAAGACCAATCTTATTATTTCACGTCGAACTTGAATAAAAACACTCCTGGACCGAACTTTTCAGGAAACTTAATTCAACCTACATCAAACGTAGAAGCGAAGCCTTCAAATGCAAACTTCCCGAATACACTAACTTTACAGTTCATTCCTTCAAACGGTTATGAGGTGGAAAACGAAAGACAACAGCAGAAGCTACTCGATACTTTTCAGATCGACGAATTTGGAGCTCCAAGAGAAGTCGTTTCCAATATCGATCGATCCAATAACCAGGAACAGATATTAACCTCAAATATCGATTATTCTGTTGAACACCCCACGTCGGCCCGACAATTAGACGGGACAAACAATATCAACGCCTTGTACTCTGGTCCGTCGTCATATTCTGCACCGCAATCGTCAGTAGTCGGGGGACGATCAGACAGACAAAATCAATACAACTCGAATTTAGAAGACTTGGATGAAAACAATGAAAACGGATATCCTAGAACGAGGCCGGCTCGGCAATTTACCTTCTAAACGACACAACAAACAACGACAAAATTAAATTAACTAATTTCATATAATGAAAAAAATTTAAGCTTACAAAGCGTAACCATTGATATATAATTTTTTTTAATAATAATATTTTAATACATCAATGAGCGTAACGTATCAATATTGCCTAAAGCATACCATCCATACTAATATTATAAATGTGAAAGTGAGTTTGTTTTCTTTTGTTACATATTCAGTTGATCATCATAAAATTTTGCATACACCTTACAGCTACAGGCTACAGGCAACCTATATATATACATCAAATTATTCTTTCCACATAAAAGTGCCCGAAAATGCAGATAAAAAATCTTGAAATAAAAACGTATAAAATTCAACATAATTGTATCTTCGATTTCCCTTTGTACTATATGGGTCTTTAAACTCTATAATTTTACGGCGCAATTAAAACCACATCCGATTGAAAGCGTTATGTAAATTAAAGATAAAAAAAAATGCTCTGAATTTCCTTGCTCCTTTTCGGAATAGGTGAAAGCTATGCTCTCGCCTGTTGTTTAAGTTTAAAATAAATAAAACAAAAACCACTTTATTTGTGTACAATGTATAATTTGTGTCTTTGTAAAATATCAATTTATTGTGATTGCTCCTTTTCGGTTTGATATCTGAAGATATTTGATGATGCACAATTTCATGAGCGTAAGATTTTATTAAAACAGTGCAATAACTTATAGTAATATTCTTTAATAGTTTACAATTAAATTAAAAATGCTATACTTTTATCCTACCTACTAGAATTAGATTAATATGTACTAGTGTAAATAAAATAATAACTATTACTTTTAATATTAAATAGTTTTGTACCAAATCATAATTAATAAAGTATTAAATTTAAAAAAATGTGTAATATATTTCAAATTATTTAACTACTAAGCCGATTTAATGTTTCCAAAACAAACTTTTTTCAATGAAAACCTTTTTGAACAAACAGTTCGAGGTCAAAGTTCAACAATAAACTTGTCAATGCTAAAATGAAACTATGGAGTAAAATTTGTTGCTATGGCAACGGCTTTGTTTAGCTTCCATTTTATTTAACTCTTCAACGGCGTGGCGATTCAATGACCATGAAATAATAAATATTGATCGACCAATCCAGAATATCACGTGAGTTATGAATTGAAATTATTTATTAATAAATGTTCCATAAAAGTAGACGTCTTTCATAATTTCGAATGTCAGTAAAATGGCTTCGAATTTAACTTCTTTTGACACTTGCCGAAACCTATAGATATAACAAAGTGCCACCCGTCTATAAAAATCAGAGCCTTTTAGCCAGCATACGGCCCACCTGATGGTGAGTGGTTACCGTCGCCCATGGACTTCAGCAATGCCAGGTGCAGAGCCAAGCCGCTGCCTACCACTCGACTAAGTAATAGCATCTGGTACGCGTTACTGCCTCCAACAGAAACAGAATGTTGGTGCCTACTCTTGCCGGCTTATAAAATTCTTTACCACATTGCCAATTTGTACATGTGTGTCTGGAAACTGCAAATTATCGCATGAGAGGTTTCAATTAAGATCAACACTAAAGATTGTATCATAAAAGCCTTAAACATATCACTTTATGTTAAGCTGTTTGTTCATTTTATTAAGAATGCGGTCGTCTTTAAACTACTAAGCTGCAAAATGAAAATAGGGAAAACAAGCAAATTACTACAACAGTACTAAATTAGTATTTTGATCTACAATAACTCTACAGTCCGCATTTTTCGGGAAAGCTTAAAATATGTATTTTAATAGTGATTGAAAAAAAACTGCTATTTAATCTAATATTTAGTATTTACGTATTATAGTTTAACTATATGTCGTACTGTACTTTCATAGTGGTATTTATGAAAAACAATAGTATTTTCTTCGATTAATAATAGTACAGTATTTTACACGCGTCTTAAAGAAAATCCATTTTCCAACAAGCACTGGATATATGCTTATATTTCTTGAAAAGCCTTGGATGACGCCAAAAATACATTCCCGTACATCTTGATTTTGGTTTTTAGATCAAAATGTCAGGTTCAGACACTCCATCCGTGATCGAAGGGCTGGATGTTGAATTGGACTTCTTCAAGGATGCCAGAGTCCTGTGGTTTAAGGTAACGTTTTTTATATAGACGTACGTTTCAATTAGCCTATTTTGTTATACGTTTGCTCTAATTGAATCTGATAATTGATTTAAAGACTTGATATCATAAGATTTCATTTTAAAATTTGATATCGTGTCTGAAGCACAGAGTCAGCATTATTTTTCGCTCGCTACGATGTCTCGATTTTTGCATTGTCAAGGGGTATTCTTTCATTTTAAAATTTTTCAATAATCTGTTATTTGGCAAGAACTAAAAAAGTTCTAAATATTAAGCTCTGCGTTATTGCAAGACTTCCATTTGTCCGGTAAGCCTTGCATATAACAAAATGGAAAACGGTATTTAAGCTTTGTGTGGCTTAAAAGAATGCTAATAATACCTTTCGGCTTTTTCGCTAATTGGGGTAGACCTCTTCTCCAGTGTGCCTTAATAATAATCTAGCAACCTAGGCCTAACCGGCCGATTTCGATACTTTTACCTGTTTTTTCTTTTAACTTTTAGCATTAAAATCCAGTTACACAATGCGAGCACGATTTCATATATTAATTAATACGCTTTTATTAGCTTCAGACGTATGTACGTTTGTAACGGAATCTTTGAACATGATTTTGACCCCTTCAAAACGTCGGATTAACTCGAAATTTGGTATACTTACTTATTAAGGACCGATGACAATCAAATAATAATAAAAAATTGAAAAAAAATTAATTCAACTAAATAATGAAAAATAAATAGTAGTTTAATAAAACTAACAAAATACGCTTTTATAGAAAATCCAACTATAAAATAGAAAATAAATTTGAATTAAAAATAGTGTAAGAAAAAATTATTTTATTGTAAAAAAGCTTGGGGTGCTTTTCAGGACATTATAATTTTTTTTTTTTTAAAAGATTTTCTATAAACGCGTATTTTGTTAGTTTTTTTTAAACTATTATTATTTATTTTGTCTTGTACTCTGAACGCATTCACAGGAACGAATACTATCCTTCATCGGTATGAGCGATGACGAGTTGTTCTATAATATGTTCGATGATGCGGAGGTTAAGCGCTTGTTCACTAATTATGTGACGTCACCAATAAAACCAAATGAACAGGAATTGGATAAGAGAACGTTTTATGTCACTAAAATCATTGTCGACAAGCTTATACACGAAGACAAGGAGTTTACGGAGTGGAGTGAGTAAGATAGAACACTAAATGATACCATACAATGACTATAGCATGGTAGTTTTACTACTGGTTGGACGTCTTGTGATTCCGCACGGGTAGGTACCACCACCCTACCTATTTCAGCCGTGAAGCAGTAATGCGTTTCGGTTTGAAGGATGGGGCAGCCGTTGTAACTATACTGAGACCTTAGAACACATATCTCAGGATCGGCCAGCCGCCTGGACACTAGTAGGGATGTCACATTTCCTGTTTCCACGAGTGTGTTAGTTATGTTCTACAAGGCTAATAACTTGTGAGAAATATAATAACACTAGTTTTAGAACATCAGTATATAGGAAATGTTCGGAAATCTGATTGATAATCAACAACTAAATAAACTTTAAATATAAGTTGGAATAAATTTGGTTTGTATTTAAATGCAAACTCTTGACTACAACATTATATTATGTAATATTTCATACGCAATCAATTTCATTTTCAACGGCTTATAAAGTTCAACAACAAACATTTTCAACATTTTAAAAATATATTGAATTGGTTATAATTCTTCAAAATAGAGCGTTGAAATTAATTTTACGAAAACCAATTGCATGAGGATTTATAATATAGATTTGTATGTGTTTTATGTCTTTTTTTTTTCTTTGAATCGAGCTTCTAGGTTATATTTGCCATCAAGTACCTATTCTAGCATCTAAATCTTAAATTTAAATCAGATACGTAGATAAATGCAATACAAAAAGCCGAGCTTGCACCCTCGTGTCTATCTACTAGTTTAATTGTATGAAAAATTTCGATTTCTTTCAACCTATACGTATTCATCGATCATGCGCGATCATGTGTGATAGAAACCTTCCATGGGGTGCTAACAACAACTGTCAGCTTCATCACGATTGATATTTGAAATATCGTCGCTGTCAAACCAAAATCTGCTATGTGCAAAAATTCTATTTTGAATTAACGAGTAAAAACATTTTCGTATTAAAATTTTATATGAAAGTGAATTTTGTCAAATGAAAGCTAGACACATAACAGTTTTTTTATACGATAGATAGGGCTGTGAACTATACGAAAAGGTCAAAAGTAAAAATCTCAAAGTGCACATAGCAGATTTGTAATGAATCAACGTCGCGTCATACATTGATGGCTGTGATTGGCCAACGATGACGTCATATCGCACGAACCAATCACAGATCAGGAAACGCAATAGTGGCACTAATTGTCAAAATTTAAAAAATTATATACACGAAGAAAAAAGATGGACGCGCATGTCAATTCTATTTTGTAAAATAAGTAAAAATAATATAATGAGTACATATTTGAAGAAGTGAACGCATTTATTCATTTTCTTGGCCACCTCAAGATACCTCTAAGAAATAGACGCAAAACAAATTTGGGATTGACAACGACGATATACTTCTTCTCAATCGTATCACTCTTGACAGAGCGGTCGCGATGCTCATGTAGTGTTGGAAGGGGCAGACTTGGTGCGTCTCACGATGTCCCGCCATCTCTTGAAATATATATTTGAAATATTCAATTAAAAATGTAGACCTTGCATATCGGATCGAACTTACATGCCTCTTACGAAGAAAAATGTTTTCCCAAGCCCTTTTTTTTCCAGGGTCATATTATTAATAACGGCCATTTTTTTTAATATCGATTAAGTCACAGTAATTTTCTCTAAACAGGAATAATACCTCCGCCTCCGCCCCCTCCGCCACCACCGCCAAAGAAAAAGAAAGGAAAAAAAGGACCTGCTCCTGAAGTCGCACCGGAAGCTAAAGATAAGAAGGGGGGCTTAGGAGCGAAAGGTTCTAAAAGTGGAAAGCTAGTGAAAAGTTAGTGCATATATTATATAATGTAAATTGTGTAAAATGTATTTTGTAAATTTTCATGTTTTGTATGATCCGTGCTGTCGTTGGGTCTTCGTGTCCCCCCCTTAAGGGAGCACGGATCGGGCCTCTGCGCGGGCTTGGACTCCCTGCCTAACGAGGCAGGGTGATGATTATGCTTGCTGGCTATTATTAGAAGGCGATGAAGTGATGTGGTTGAGGCGATGATTTATGATCTGATGAGATGATAAGATGATGATGATTTGTGATAGGGTTCGATTTGTGATCCGCGCTGGCTTGTAAACATTTTATTTATACTGTTATCCGCGCAAATTATTACAAATATAAAATTTATTTTCAATTTGATTATTTATTCATATAGCTTAAATTTTATTTGAAAGAATAAAATATTGTTAATGGCAAGAAATTAAAATAATAATTAATTATTGTTACAGAAACTGAAGGAGAGGAAGGTAATAACGGAACTATAGTGATTGATAGCTGATTATTAACTTAGATATACAATATGGAATTTATCAAGGACTACTGTAAGAATATCATTATAGTAAACATGTGATTCAGTCCTTTCAATACATTTTTTTGAATTGCAAAGAAGGTCTGCGGAGAGTACCTACTCAGCGTTAGGCAAAGGCTTGGCTTTGCCTCTGGCATTATCGATATCTATAAACGGTGACACCACTCACAATCAGGCAATCTGTATGCTCGTCTGCATACAAGGACTATTAAAAAAAATCATATTCCAAATCAATCCAATAGCATGTTTTGCAAAGTATTATGATGTCCCAGGATCATTACTGCCATAAAGCAATCATACATATAACACACATCTATGTACGCATTACTCAATAAAATGTTGAGCTTGTTTGACTTTATGATTTACGTATTACTTAATCCAATAATAATAATTTTATCACGACAAAACTTCTATTATTAGATCTTGAAATAGAAACAGCAGCGGCTACAGTAACCGTGACCGAAGATGACACCAAGCCAGTATTAGATTTGCACGTCACCGAACAAGGAGACGGGAAACCGCAAATGGGAACACCAGACGACATGTATTCTTTTCCGGCTCGTTAGTATAGATATTTTTTTATAAATTGCTAGCCGTACCCGCCCGCTTCGCTGGGCATTTGAAATTAACATTATTATTTATTGTCATTATTATTAGGGGGTCCAACATTCATATAAATATTAGCCTATCCATTAAGTACATGTATTTTCTACATGGATACCAAGTTTCAAGTCAATCGGATGCATGGTTCAGTAGTTATAATGAAGCATCCGTAAAAACCACTGTAGATTTATATATTAGTATAGATTAGTTTCCCAAAAAAAAATATCTTTCAAGTGTCTGTGTTTGTTTGTCCGGTCGTGTCTGGAAGACGGCTGACGTTTTCTGTCAATCTCTAAAGTGGATGTTGTTTCTTCAAATAATTTTTGAGCTATTTTTAATTCGAAAACGCAAATCACAAAAACTGTATAATTCGTTACTTCATTTTTTTGCTAAGAATTTGGACATCAAGACTATATTTATTAAATTTTTTGATATTTAATTTTATCAAATTTCGAAAATTTATACGTTCTTGTAAAAACTCTAAGCTCTTAAACAGTAAACAAAAACAATTGAGATATCTATTTTATTCCTGAAAGTGCGTAGACATTTGCATTGTGAGGTCTTTAGACTCCAGTAACCCTTAAACTAGGTAGCTTAGACTTCTTTACCCATCTAGTTCATCAACATGAAGTATAACTATTAAGTTATACTTGATGTGTATAAACACTATAAACATAGGAAACACAAATGCTATAGCAATTTTAAATCATAAAGAAGAATGTGATTTTATGAAGATATTATAAACTTTTTCAGCTCCAGAAGATTTGGATCCAGAAATCGATGGAACACTAGAATACTTTACTATTGTTGTAAGTTATCCCATTGGAAAACTAGTTTTCTTTTTTATTAGCTAAATACAATATGAGCAATAAGAAGATATTTCAATTAGATTACGATTTACTGGTGGTAGGACCTCTTGTGAGTCCGCGCGGGTAGATACCACCACCCTACTTATTTCTGTCGTGAAACAGTAATGCGTTTCGGTTTGAAGGGTGGGGAAGCCGTTGTACCTATACAAGAGACCTTAGAACTTATATCTCAAGGTGGGTGACGGCATTTACGTTGTAGATGAATATGGGCTCCAGTCCACCAATGTAAGCAATAAAAATTAAAAAAAGCATGAACTAGATTGACGCAATGTAACGTACATACAAACAACTTCACCAAATGAAAGAACCAAATAAAAGTTCTACTAGCACTGTTTCGAATCAGGGACTACTCGTTCACTTGACGCGGTAGACTGAGTTATTTACTACTACTACCCTATCTACTAACCCATCACTAAAGAAGAAACTACTTTACTTTCCAATAAATTGATCACATTTTCGCAGCGATCAGTTCCAAGAGTGATCCAGTATCCAAAATTGATTCCAACATTCGGTGCATTAACTCCTCAATTAGCGCAACGGAACCGGCGTTACATCTATTTTATCAGGCAAACTCAGGGAGAAATCCCCCTCGCGGAATCTTCATATCTTACGATGCTGAAGATGCCTGATTATGTGCTTACCGGGATCACCTCAGGAAAAGTGTTAATGAGCTTGGGACTTCAGTTGAAAGAGGTGAAAAGTTATTGTTGTTATTTTCTGCCAAAAGCAAATCGCAAATCCGATGGAGGGTGGTACTTAGTAACAAAGTTTGTTTTAAAATCAAATTTATGGAAGCAATTTGAACAAATATTAAAGTAAACTCAATTTTTGCATTTAGATTATAACATCACTATACTCTATTCCAATTACGAAGTCCCATGAGACAGGTGTTATTATNATCACCTCAGGAAAAGTGTTAATGAGCTTGGGACTTCAGTTGAAAGAGGTGAAAAGTTATTGTTGTTATTTTCTGCCAAAAGCAAATCGCAAATCCGATGGAGGGTGGTACTTAGTAACAAAGTTTGTTTTAAAATCAAATTTATGGAAGCAATTTGAACAAATATTAAAGTAAACTCAATTTTTGCATTTAGATTATAACATCACTATACTCTATTCCAATTACGAAGTCCCATGAGACAGGTGTTATTATTATGTTATTGTGTGCGTGAATTAAT